TCTGTCTTCTTCTGTAAAGTTACTATTTTGGAGAAACTTGTTTTCCTTTGGACAGCGACAGTATGTCATGTTTTATATTTTTTCCAACATGTTCAGATAAAAAAGACTAAAATTTGTTCCTCACTGAGGATTCAAAAATCTAAAGAGGCGTAAAGAGAACGTCGCTTTGTGGACCATAGGAGTCAATGCTTCAGTAATTGGTTCACACAAAGCTACAGCAGTGGGCGGCAGAGGCATCCCAAATCCAATATATATCTACAGAAGTGGAGAATATTGATTATATTGAACATTAAATGCACAAGAGTACAGCCCGTTAAATGACTAAGCTCCAGCTCTTTTTTATATGACAATAAATAAGAATAACAAGCTTGAGTAAAAGTCAACCACTTCAAAAAACCTGAATGATTACAGGAATGCAACCTTGTTCTAAAGGAGAGTTGTGTAACGTATGATTCAACACAGTAATATTTGGTTCAAGGCTACAGAAACAGATATGAGCATCTTAAACATAATCTACAGTAATGGAGAATGAAGGTGAACATGCGGAAACTGACCATTAAAAACAGCCACAAGAGCCAGTTTAGTGACCAAGCTCCAGCTTTTTTTATGCACAAGTAAAGAAAATTAAATATCTAAAGAGAACACAATGCACACTTACTGAATGGGAGATGAACTGTGGACCACAGGATTCAGTGTCATAATACATTAGCATTTTGCATACCTACACACATACTTAAGCATCTTAAATCCAACATATAGATTCTGCACTGGAGAACATAGAGCCATACGAGACCACTGAGTGACCAAGCTCCAGCTTTTTGTACACACAAAAGACAACAGCAAGCAAAAATAACTTGATTCTGGTGCTGAGGTTCACCAAAAGCCCAAATCCAGAGAAAACCTAAACTTAACAGGAGATGAATTCATTGCTTTAATGGTCCACATTTAAAGCTGCAGCAACAGACAAGATCATGAATCCAGTGTATATCTACAGAAGTGGAGAATACGGGCAAACGTGAATACTTCCTTTAAAAACAGCCGCAGCACGAGTTCCAGCTTCTAAAATACTTTTAGACATGAAGGGCAACGACAAGACGGAATAACATTTGCATGACCCCCAAAAACCAAATATGAACAAAGAGAATACAAACTTACTGAATAGGATATGAATGGTGGACCAATTTGTGTCGCCACACAAAAGCTACAGCAACAGAGAGGAGCAATATATCATATATCTAATATGTATCTACAGTAAAGGAGAATAAAGCCAATATATATATATATATATATATATATATATATATATATATATATATATATTTAGTTATGGTAAATTTGCAGGAGAAGGAAAAAACATTTTACACTTTACTTTTAATATGTTTCTTTTTTTTCCATTCTTCATGAAATTTACACACAATGCAAAGGGCAATAGGCATTATATATACAGTATATCTCCGCTTTGTGTCATGCCAAATAACACCCCTCCCCGTAATAAAATCGAAGTAACCCATGGTCTCTTGTGGCTTATTGCTTTAATATATATAGTAAAGGAGAATAAAGCTAATATATATTTACAGTAATGGAGAATAGAGCCTATATATATATATAAATATATATATATATATTACATATATATACATATAATGCATATGCACTGTATAGATACAGTAACTGAGAATAAATCCATTATATGGCTACAGTAATTGAGAAGATATACAATGTATATCTATCACAGTGGAGGATATGACTCTGAATATTAACCATTAAATAGAGCCACAAGAGACAAACCAGTTTAGTGATAAAAAGCAAGAATAACCCAACGAAAAACTTTCAAATAAATAAGATACAAACTTAATTTTTTATTTGGAGATTAATTGTGGACTGTAGAATTTAGCGCTTTAATCCGTTTTGTGTTTGACTGACACGTTAAAACATAAGACTGTATAAGCAGACAAGAGCATCCTAAAACCAATACATATCTACTGTAAAGGAGAACAAATCCATTGTATCACTACAGCGATTGAGAAGATCTCCAATGTGCATGTACAGTAGCGGCAAATTTTGCCTAATGATGAATATTAGCCTTTAAACTGAGCCATAAAACAGACTTGGACAGACAGAAGTGATCATCTCCAGCCTTTTTACACACAGAACATGAGTGAAAACTGCCAAGGCCTGAGTTAAAGTTAACTTAAGAACCCTAAAGTTCACCAGAACACAAGCTCGCTCTGTAGGAGATGAACTTCGCACCATCGCATTCACGGCTGTAATAGGTTTGTGTTTGATTCACACATAAAGCCACAGAAACAGACATGAGTGTCCTAAATCTAACACATATCTACAGTAATCTAGAACACAGAACAGTGAACATCAGCTTTAAACAGAGCCACAGGAGACGAGCCAGTTCTGTGGTTTTTTCTGCATGAAGGGCAACAGCAGAACTAAAGAACTTAATGCTGGTGTTAAAGTTCCTCAAAAACCCCGAACCCTAATAAAGAGTCTTAATAGGAGATGAATTGTCCACCATTAGATTCAATACCTTCATATTTTGAGTTGAATTCACACAGAAAAGCCACAGAAACACACAGGAGCATCCTAAACCCACTGTATCTACAGCAGAGGAGAACACGGGCTATCGAGAACATAAACCACTAAAAAGAGCCACAGCACGAGCTCCAGCTTTTTACGCTTTAATAACCAGCAGGAATAGAGTAACATGAGCTCGGTTCTAAAGGCAACCCAGAAAACTCAATCTGTGTAAAGAGAACACAGACGTGCTGAAGTGACCACACTAAATCCAATTTACCAACATAGAGCTACACTACACTCTTAAAAAAGAGGGTTCTTCAAGGGTTCTTTAGTAAAGAGAATGGGAGCATAGATCCATGAGTTCTATATAGAACCGTTTGGTTCTTTGCATGCCTCAGATTGATAGAAAATGTGCTATTTATGGTTCTATATGCACATTTTTAAAATGGTTCTATATAGCACCACTAAAAAGGGTTCTTCTGTTGTTACAAGCTTGACATCGTAACAATAGCAGAACCCTTTTTGGTGCTGTATAGAACCACATACAACACATTCTCCGTCAGTCTGAAGCATGCAAAGAAGCATTTTAGCATGCAAGTGGTTCTATATGGAACACATGGTTCTAAACAGAACCATTTCCTTTACTAAAGAACATTCTCCATCATTTTGAAGAGCCACTCTTCCATGCAAAGAACCATACAAGCATGCAGATGGTTTTATATAAAACTCACGGCTCTAGATAGAACCATTCCCTTTGCTAAAGAACATTCTCCATCAATCTGAAGAATGATCTCCCCATGCAAAGAACTGTTTAAGCATGCAGATTGTTCTATATAGAACTCATGGTTCTAAATAGAACCATTCCATTTACTTAAGAACATTTGGCATCAACATGTAGAGCCATTACACCATGCAAAGAACCTCTGCAAACCATGAGCTCTATATAGAACCATTACAGCATGCAAATGTTTCTATATAGAACTCTATAACTATATAGTTCTAAATGGAACCATTCCATTTACTTCAGAACCCTTGAAGAACCACCTTTGTGAGAGTGTAGTGGAAAATAAATGCTAACAATGAATATTACACTCTTAGCACTCTTAGAAAAGTGTTCTATATAGTACCAAAAAATGGTTCTTTGGCTTGTAACAACAGTGGAACCCTTTTTGCTGCTATATAAAACCCTTTTGAAAAAGGTTCTATATAAAAGCCATCTACAGCACATACTCCATCAATCTGAAGAACCATTTCACTATGAAAAAAAAAACATTTAATCATGCAAAGGGTTCTCTGAGTGTTCATGGTTCAATATAGACCCATTTTCTCCACTAAAGAACCTTTGGAGAACCATGTTTTTAAGAGGGTAGCCTCGAATAGCCTTGAGTAGTCCTGTGATTGTATGATAGGCAGATATAAGTGACACACTTTTACACTCAAAGCGCAAAAAGAAGCTAGAACAGCTGGAGCTCTGTCCAGAGTTCACTACAAACACTGCCCTGCTGAAAAAGAACCATTAGAACCACTAAGATTAAAACCTAATGTTGTAGCTTTCTAATGAGAATTGGCTTAGGTTTCCAATAGAGACCACTAATTTCCTGTAGAACGATTTTAGATCCCATTAGGAAACCATCAAACGCATTTAGAATCAGCCACTGGTCTCCTGTTAAACCATTAGAGTCCTTTATACTGTGATATCAACCCATTCAGAATGCCAAAACACATTACAAAACCATCAGGAACCAACAGAAACACTTAATGGTTCTATGGGGTTTTTCAGCAGGACAAGCAAGTGGACGCAAACCTGCTGAATGGAAAGCGAATCGAGAACAAAACGTGTGTTTGGACCACAACAAAAGACAAGAGCATCCCAAATCTGATATCTACAGTGGGGCACACTCTTAAAAAAGATGGTTCCTCAAGGGTTCTTCAGTAAAGACATGGTTCTGTATGCAACCATGAACATTATAATGATTAAAGCGTTGTTTGCATTGTGAAAGGGTTCTTCAGTTTGTTGTATATGGTTCTACATAGTACCAAAAAGAGTTCTTCAGACTGATGGAGAATGTGCTAGATATAACCTTTTTGAAAACTTTTGGGTTCCACTTCTATTACAATCCAAAGAACCCTTTTTTGGTACTATACAGAACACTTTTTGCCAAGAGTGTAATATTCATTGTTAGCATTTATTTTCCACTACACTCTCAAAAAGGTGGTTCTTCAAGGGTTCTTTAGTAAAGGGAATGGTTATATTTAGAACCGTGGTTCCATATAGAACCATTTTCCTTACTAAAGAACCATCGTTTTTTAAGAGAGTGGAGCCCAGAGGCGCGCAGGTGGATGCTCTCCCTCTAACAGGCGCGATGATGAGCGGCGAGCATCTTCGGCAGGTCCTTTTACGCACGAGGCGCAGCAACAAGAGGGACGATCGCGAGCTCGGCGCCCAGGAAGGGAAGAGAGCGGGAACTCACCAGAGCGCACATGACGCTGAGCAGCGAGCTGAAGAGCAGGAAGCCCAGGCTGTGGCCCACGAGCGCGGAACCCATTCGGACGCAGAGCCTCCAAACTTTACGCAGAAGGAAGGATGGAATGGACGGACGGACGGGACGGGATTAAGAGCTCAGATGCGCCTCAGCCCCCTCCATCTGAGCGCGCACGGCGGCAGGAGCGTCCCAGAAGTGCGCCTTCTCCTCCTCTTCTTGCTCTACCTCTCTCTCTCCCTCTCTCTCTCAGCGTGTGCTTTATTTCTCAGCGCCTGTCTGCTTTCCCCTCTCTCTCCCCCTCTCTCTCTCTCTCTCTCTCTCTCCCCCTCCCTCCCTCCCTCCCTCCCTCCCTGAAATTACATCCACATGTCAGAACTATTTACGTCCTTCAGCTTCTGCGGTAGGAAGTTCAAAATGATTCTTTGTGGATCCAGAAACCGAGGCTTTTATTTTTAGGTCTTTTTTAAAGTCTCCCCCCACGAGGAGGAAAAAAAAAAAAGAGAGAAGAAGAAAAGTCACATCATAAAGCCACACGCGCCTCCGAACCCCTCAATTTCTCTTCTCCCTCCAGCACACATCAAACGGCGCCCACTGTCAGCCTGAGCCGCGCTCAGAAGAGAAGAACGTGGACGCGCATGCACAGACATGGAGCGACGAGCTCAGTCTCACTTCCACACGCTGCTCAGTCCATCCGGAGCCAGCGCGAGCCCCTCAAGCCCACCATAACGCACGGTTTCCAAGCGTGAAGCGTCTCAAATTCGCTCCATCCGCGCCAGGAACACGTAGCCTGTCCCGGGCTGTCACCTCCTGCCCGCTTCTCCTCCCAGTCCAGAGCGCAGCACGGAGGAGTTTCCGCACTAATCAGAGGCTTTTCTGAGACGCACGTTCCAAAAAAGCTGAAGGAAAGAAAGGAGGAAGGAGAGGAGGAGAGAAAGCGAGCCGTGGAAGAAGTTTGGAGAGCTCCTCGTTTGAGAAAGTGCTCCACATGCTGGCAGCTCTGGCACCACCTCCAGGGCTGTGCGTCTGCAATGGAAAGGAGGCGCGAGGCTGTTTTTTTTCCCTTTTTTTTTTCTTTGCGCTGGGTTTTTAAAACCGCGGCTCCAAAAAGAAGGCTAGGCTTGTGTTTTTTCCCCGCCCGTATTCAGGCAGGCCACGCCCACCGGCGCCATGATTGGCAGTCCAACCCCAGCGCAGGAGGTGGGACCCAAGTAGCCAATCCCAGCACCGAACGAGTGATACTACCAGCCAATCCCAGCGCAGGGGGCGTGGCTTTTATGAATACGGGTGGGAAAAGAAATCGCCCGCTCCCAGCACAATCTGCTCATTCACAGTTTTCGCTTTATGTTGGCAAAACGCGCCTTTCTCTGCGGTCCGCGTGCGCGCCGAGCGACCACGAGAGCAATAAAATTATGTAAATACAATGCTGGGGTCAGATTTTTCATCCAGCTCATGAAATGAGTCTTTCAGCGCTTTCATGTTGGCGTCCACATCTCCACCGGCCGGGCAGGTCTCCTGAGCTCCACTTCTTCACGAGCGAAATATGTATTTATTTTCATTTTTCGTCCAAAATCTCCAAGTTGAAGTTGAAGGAACAAAATAATAGTGAACATTTATGCAAACGTGCACCTCGTAGTTTCATATGCATTTAATGTTCTGCCAGTTTCAACGTCCAGATTCAAGGTGTGGACCTGCTGTCCATTCAGCTCTGGGTCTTAACTGGATCTGATGTGTTGGGGTTTCTTACGTCAGCGACCTTCTGCTTCATCATAATACAACCAAAACAGGCTGGCAGGTGACCAGTGGCCAGAACTCGTGTCCTGCAACCGGGCAGAGAAACAGTCTGTGGTTCTGGTGAGGGAACTCCTTTAACACCCTGCAAGAAATCAGCGTAAAAAAAAAGAAGAAAAATCAAAACCAATCAAGATGAAAGACACAAGCAAAATTACCTGCCAACATGGCCGCAAAACTGTGCTTAGATTTTATGGAAACAAGTGCAAATTACCAAAAATGTCTGCGTGATACAAAATTTAGTGCTACGTTAAACATTCAGAAAAGTTTGAATACAACGAAATATAATGAAACAAAGAGCATTATGAGTGTGGCCTAATAATGACCCCCTTTAATTGACACCCCTCAGTCCATCACTCCCAGCCTGCCACACACTTAAAAAAGATGGTTCTTTTGGGGTTCTTTAGTCAAGAAAATGGCTCTATATAGAACCATGAAGGCTTGAAGAACCCTTTGCATGATTAAAGTGTTCCTTGCATCATGAAAGGGTTCCACATAGCACACAGCACCACATAGCACCAAAAAGGGTTATTCTATAACAATAAGAGAAACTTTATTGGTGCTGTATAGAACCCATTTCAAAAAGGTTCTGTATAGAACCATCTTTGCATGATTAAGGGTTCTTTTGCATGGTGAAATGGTTATTCAGATTGATGGAGAATGTGTTGTATATGGTTCTATATGGAACCCTTTTGAAAATGGTCCTATGTAGCACCAAAAAGAGTTCTTTGATTGTTACAAGCTCATATCATAACAATAACCCTTCTTGGTGCTATACAGAACCCTTTTCAAAAAAAGTCCTATATAGAACCATCTACAGCACGGTAATTAATTGAATCACGCATTGGGCTCTTTGAGTGTTCATGGTTCTATATAGAACCATTTTGTGTACTAAAGAACAAAAAATGTTTGTGTGATACAAACTTCTGTGTTTTATTAAACATCCAGCAAAGTTTGAATGAAAAACCCCAGAAATATAATGAAAAAAAAAAGAATTGTGTGGGCGTGGCCTAATATTCTAATGAGCCCTTTTATTGACAATCCTCAATCCATCACTCCCAGCCTGCAACACACTTAAAAAAGATGATTCTTTAAGTGTTGTTTAGTAAAGAAAGTGGTTCTATATAGAACCATGGACACTCAAAGAATTCTTTGCTTGATTAAAGGGTTCTTTGCATTTTGAAAGTGTTCTTCAGATTGATGGAGAATGTGCTGTAGATGGTTCTATATAGAATCTTCTGAAAAAGCGTTCCACATAGCACCGAAAAGGGTTTTTTTTTATTGTTACAAGCTCATATCATAACAATAACAGAATCCTTTTTGGTTCTATGCAGAACCCTTTTCAGAAAGGTTTTATATAGAACCATCTACAGCACATTAATTAATTTCATCATGCAAAGGGTTCTTTGAGAATTCATGGATCTAGAACCATTTCCTCTGCTAAAAAGAACCCTTAAAGATCCATCTTTTTGAAGTGTGCACAAATGAAGAACTAAACAAACTAAACAACTCAACTAAATGTTTGTGTGATACGAAATTCAGTGTTTTATTAAACATCCAGCAAAGTTTAAAAAACCCAGAAATATAATAAAACAAAAAAACAATGTGGGTGTGGCCTAATATTCTAAGGAGCCCTATTAATTGACCTTTCTCAGTCCATCACTTCCAGCCTGCAACACTCTTAAAAAAGATGGTTGTTTAAGTGTTCTTTAGTAAAGACAAAAATGGTCCTATGTTCAACCCCATTTCCAAAAAAGTCAGGACGCTTTGCAAAATGTAAATAAAAACAAAATGCAATGATATGCAAATCATTTAAACCCTATATTTAATTGAAAAAAAGTATAAAGACAAGATATCAAATGTTGAAACTGATAAATTTTATTGTTTTTTAAAAAATATTTGCCCATTTTGAATTTGATGTCAACAACTCATTCCAAAAACGTTGGGACGGGTTCAACAAAAGGCTGGTAAAGTTCTGTAATGCTGAAAAACAACAGGTCAGTAACATGATAGGGTATAAAAAAGCATCTCAGAGAGGCGGAGTCTTTCAGAAGTAAGATGAGGAGGGGTTCACCACTCTGCGAAAGACACAAGCAAATAGCGCAACAATTCAAGAAAAACGTTTCTCCGAGTAAAATAGCAAAGAACTTTTGCTTTTCATCATCTACGGTACATAATATCATTGAAAGATTCAGAGAATCTGGAGAAATCTCTGTATGTAAGGGACAAGGCTGAAAACCAGTATTTGCTGGCCGTGATCTTTGGGTCCTCAGGCAGCACTGCATTAAAAACAGACATGATTCTGTAGTGGAAATCACTGCAGAAACACTTCTGAAACCACTGTCTGTGAAAACAGTTCGTCACTGCATCCACAAATGCAAGTTAAAACTCTAAAATGCAAAGAAGAAACCAGATATAAACAGGATCCAGAAATGCTGCCACCTTCTCTGGGCCTGAGCTCATTTAAAATGGACTGAGCTGAAGTGGAAAAGTGTCCTGTGGTCTGACGAATCAACATGGAAATCATGGACACTGTGTCCTCTGGGCTAAAGACCACTCAGCTTGTTATCAGTGCACAGTTCAAAAGCCAGTATTCATGATGGTATAGGGGGGCATTAGTGCACATGGCATGGGTGACGTGTGCATCTGTGAAGGCGCCATTGATGCTGAACAATACATACATGTTTGGGCAACATATGCTGCCATCCAGACGACGTCTTTTTCAGGGAATGCCTTGATTATTTCAGCAAGACAATGTCAAACCACATTCTGCATGCATTACAGCAGCTCCAGGTGCTAAACTGACCTGCCTGCAGTCCAGACCTGTCACCAGTGAAAACATTTGCTGCATTATGAAATGAAAAATATGACAAAGGAGACCCTGAAATGTTGGGCAGTTCTAATTCTATATCAAACCAGAACGAGAAAACATTTCACTTTACAAAACTACAGCAGTGTCTCCTCAGTTCCCAAACGCTTACAGAGAAATGGGGTTGTAGAACTATGAAAACTCAAAGAACTCTTTGCATGATTAAAGGGTTCTTTGGTTCTTTGTATCTTGAAAGCGTTCTTCAGACTGATGGAGATCTGTAGATGGTTCTATACAGAACCTTTTTGAAAAGGGTTCTATACAGCATCAAAAAGGGTTCTTTTATTGTTACAGACTTGAAGTCTTAACCCTTTTGAAGAACCTGAAGAACCCTTTTTTGGTGCTATATAGAGTCCCTTTCAAAAAGGTTCTATATAGAATCATTTTCTTTACTAAAGAACCCTTGAAGAGCCATCATTTTTAAGAGTGTGTGATAAACCACTTAAGTCCTCCAAGATGAAACACAGAGGATTAAAAATGGCCAGAAGCCATGTGGAGACGCTGCGAACGTCTCAACAAGCCAGGACATCTGAAAATGAGGAGATCTCCTGTTTATGTAAAGATGAACAGACTAGACCGAATTTGTCTGAGGTTAATAAGCTTGAACAGTTTTGAAGCTCGTCACTATGAAAGAAGAAAT